AGAGAAGAGAAGGGAGAGAGAAAGGAGAGAGGAGAGATCAAAAGGAATGCAACTCTAAATGGAAGAGCAATGAAAAGAATGGAAGAGAAATGAGGACAGGCGAAATGCAAAAGTCAGGCAAAGAGAAGACGGTGCTCGTTTTCATCTTTCCTCTGGTTCTTATTTTTCTCTTCTCTTGTTCATTTCCGTTAGAAAAAAACAACAGGAATAACAATGAACATGTAAGCAAACCCAGCTGATGCTCATGATTTTTTCCCTTCTCCCTCTCTCTCTCTCTCCATATATGGGCGATGGAACGGGTGTCCTTGTTGGGCCGTTTTCTGGATCTTCAAGTGAGGAACCTAGGTGTTTTCTTTTGTTCGTTTGAAGACACAGAAAGCGATTAAAAGGGACGTCCATTTTGGATTGGCAGCCAACCCAGCTGATGCTCATGATTTCTCTCTCTCTCTCTCTCTCTCTCTCTCCCTATATATGGGCGATGGAATGGGTGTCCTTTTTGATCCTTTTCTGCATCTTCAAGCGAGGAAAAGGGACACCCCACAAGAGCACACTTAGGGTGTCCCTTTTGCTCGTTTGAAGACACAGAAGGCGATTAAAAGGGACGCCCATTTTGGATTGGCAGCCAACCCAGCTGATGCTCATAATTTCTCTCTCTCTCTCTCTCTCTCTCTCCCTATATATGGGCGATGGAACAGGTGTCCTTTTAGATCGTTTTCTGCATCTTCAAGCGAAGAAAAGGGACACCGCAAGGAAACACTTAGGCTGTCCCTTTTGCTCGTTTGAAGACACAGCAAGTGATTAAAAGGGGCGCCCATTTTGGATTGGCAGCTGATGCTCATGATTTATCTCTGTCCCCATATACGGGCGATGGAACGGGTGTCCTTTTTGGATCGTTTTCTGCGTCTTCAAGCGAAGAAAAGGGACACTACAAGAAAACACTTAGTAAGGGTGCCCCTTTTGCTCGTTTCAAGACACAGAAGGCGATTAAAAGGGACGCCCATTTTGGATCGGCAGCAAACCCAGCTGATGCTCATGATTTATCTCTGTCTATATACGGGCGATGGAACGGGTGCCCTTCCTGATCGTTTTCTGCATCTTCAAGGGAGAAAGAAGGGCACCGCCCAAGAAGGAAAAGTAACATCAGATATAGGGCGGGAAATTGAAGAGCTCCTCTCTTTACTTAGTCATTCCCTTTTCTCTCTTCTTATCTGTTGTTTTCTTCGCTTCAAAAAGCAAAATAAGGGAAAAGAGATTTCCTGAAGAGGAGGGAGGGCACCTATTGAAGAGCTCCTGTCTTTACTTAGTCATTCCCTTTCCTCTCTTATCCGTTGTTTTATTCGCTTCAAAAAGCAAAATAAGCGAAAAGAGATTTCCTGACGAGGAGGGAGGGCACCTATCTGTAAAGAGCAATCGTTTAGAGGGGAACAGGAGAAGAGGAGCGAGAGAGAAGGACAGAGGAGAGATACAGGGAATCCAATTTCAATAGAACAGCAAAGAAAAGAATAGAAGAGAGATGAATAGAGAAGAGGGAGAGACAAAACGAGGCGCAGAGAAGATGGCACTCTTCTTTATCTATCCTATCTCCCTTATCTCTCCCTTCCCTCTGTCTTTTCCAGATAAGAACAACTAAAGAGGAAGAATTTATGAAAAGGAGAAGAGTAAGGAAAAGAGCAGAAGTAGGCCGAGAAGAGGGACATGATGAAGTACGGCAAGGTCCACGCGCAACGTCTGCCCAGAATTAAATAATTTAAATAATTTAAATCCGAAAGGGGCGTTTCGTATTTACATTATTAAAATTATTTAATTCTGGGAAGGGGGGGGGCCCGGTCCTGCCCCCCCCCCTTTTCGGATTTAATTTTTTAAAATTATTTAAATTATTTAAATTATTTAACTTATTTAATTCAGGGGGTGGAATTAGATAATTTAAATAATTTAAATCCGAAAGGGGGGGTTCGGGTTTAAATTACTTAAATTATTTACTTCCCCCCCCCCGGAATTAAATAATTTAAAAAATTTAGATAATTTATATAATTTAAATAATTTAAATAATTTAAATCCGAAAAGGGGGGGGGCCAGGCCCGACCAGGCCCCCCCCCTTCCCAGAATTAAATAATTTAAATAATTTAAATCCGAAACGCCCCTTTCGGATTTAAATTATTTAAATTATGTAATTCCTTGCCCCAGAACCCCCAGAAACGACAACAGGGTCTATTTGGCAGATGGCTTTTGTGAATAAGCATACGTTTTGGGGCCTTATTTCCTCTTTAAAACCCGAGTCTCAGCTTCCAAATAGACCCTATTTAAGCTGCACACGGGGGGGGGGGGGGCTCCAAGGGTGGTGTGTAACCCAAGGTTCCCTTATACTCACTACTCCGCAAGGCTCCCAAGGCTTCTTTAAGGTTCCCTAGGTACCTACCCCCCCTGAGCCCCACCTCCCTTAAGAACCCTATAATACTTGCTTAGCAGCCCAGTGGTACCACCCTTTACTTTTTTTTGTTCTGGGTTCCCTTTTGCAGTACAAACCAGAAAAGGCTGCCCTTATTATGATATGGTTACTGGGCTACCAAGTTTGCCTAAACACTGCACATCGTGGTTACAGGAAAGGTCATCGCAGGCTTGATGTAAGCCTCGGAGTCGCAACGAACCCGGTTTAGGGTTTAGGGTTTAGGGTTTAGGGTTTAGGGTTTAGGGTTTAGGGTTTAGGGTTTAGGGTTTAGGGTTTAGGGTCTCGGTTATAGAGTTTAGGGTTTAGGGTTTAGGGTTTAGGGTTTATGGTTAGGTTTGCATAAAATCTACGTATTGATAGCCTAGGATCCTCAACGATATTTCCCGCAAGAGTCTGCCCAGTGGCAGTTGGAATACCTTGGGTCCCTCTTCCTGTGAGGATCCCACAAGTAGATCCCTTTAAAGGGTTCCTAACAATGACCCAATAGTAGCATAGGGTATTACTTGGGGGCTCGACTTTTTGGATCATTGGGAGTTTGGGTACCTGACTGTCCCCTTTCTACAAGCCTTTTGTCAAAGGATTGTAGAAGAGAGCATACTCCCCAAATGCCCTGAAACTCTGTCTGCAAGAACCAGTAGGGTTTCTGTGCCTTCTGTACATCTAAGGGCAGGTAAGTACATGTTCCCTTGATATGGGACTAAACCCTAAATCCTAAACCCCTAAACCCTTAAATGGGGACCCCTTATATACCCGACAAAACCCCAAGACCCGTACGTCAGAACCATTTCAAAATCGGCAAGGGACCATATTAGGGGACCATGGAACTAGGGTTTAGGGTTCAGGGTTTTCCCTCGGAGTAAAGGCCCCTCAAGATAAAGTCGGGATTTTCTTCACTTTGTAGAGACAGTTCGTTCCGATGGGCACATTTGGGGCTTGGGAGGTTTATGGCGAGTTAAGCCCGAATGTCAAGACAAGATGGGGTTTAGGGTTTATGCCCTTGAGCTTAAAATAGCCCAAAAACCTTACATAAGAAGGCCTTTTGGCAGCAACAAACCTAAAATAAGAGGCCTTAGAGCCTAAGGGATAGGGTTTAAGGTTCACCTTCTGCAGGTTGTCCTGCGGCGCGATCGCGGACTTTGATGCCACCTGGAAATACGTCTCTCGGAAGATTTTTGCTCGCCTGAAGCTCTACCAGCATGGGCTACGATACCCTATAACCTCTTAAAACGGCCTTTTATCATGGGGAGGACTATAGGGCCGAACAGCCCAACCTGGTAGACCCTGAGCCCTGAACCCCCCTAAACCCTAAACCCTAAACCCTAAACCCTAAACCCTAAACCCTAAACCCTAAACCCTCCCTGAACAGGTGTGTGTGTGGGGAGGGGGTTTGAAGCCTTCAGGCCTGAAAGTCTTCAGACCCTGGGCTTATGCCTTAAACCCTACACACCAGACCCGAAACCCTATAAACCCTAAACTACCCGAAACTACCCTAATCTACCTGAAACCCGAAAACCCGAAACCTTAAACCCTGTGCTGAGAGAGGGCACATAAAAGTGCAATAGACATGGTACGTATCCCGCAAGTACTGAGCAACTGAAGATATCACCGAGTGTTAGCAGACGCGACAAGTATCACACAGGGGCCCAGCTGGGCTTCACCGAAAGACTTTGAGACAGTGCCCTAAACCCTAAACCCTAAACCCTATGAACCCTCTCAGTAATTCTGAAGCCGCGCCGCCCAAAAAGCACTCTCGGCTGGTGCCTGCTCGCCTTTGCACCTGCAGCTGTCAGAACTGGGGCAGGACTGATGGAGGTTTAGGGTTTAGGGTTTAGGAATTATAGGGTTTAGGGTTTCGGGTTTAGGTTCATTTCGGTACTGCAAGTAGTGTTATAAGTGCCCTGGATAAGGCTTATACCCCTACTTCGAAGTACCCATGAACCTCCAAGCGTTTCCTTGATGTCTCGAGATGTCTCGACGTTGAGGATACATGGGGTTTACGAAAATCAGGACCCGAATATGGACCCCAAATAGTAGGATGCCTTCATAAAAAAGGTTCCTAATGAGGTACCCCTAATTTATAGAATCTATCTCTCATCTATTCAGGGTTATGTTTCAGTTTCGTCGGTGTTCATGGATACTTATCAGTAGGGCTACAAGTGGTGTGATTATGGTTATAACCCCATGTAGAGTACTTACAACCTAGTCATAAGTACCACATGAACCATGAAGTACGGTGTTGAGAGTGAGGGTTTAGAGTGTAGGGTCTGCTGTACATGATTTTTCTTCGGCCTCTTTCGGTTTAGGGTTTGGGTTTACTAGGGTAGCGGGTTTTGGTTTTTTTGGCGGTTCCACGCTTCACTCATATAGCATGTAGCGTGCAGTTTAGGCATTCAATGCCATGATCATGTCTGTCAGTTCGGGCTGATGATGGACGCATGGTTGCGCGACATCTTGGTGTCAGACAGCATTGCAACCCCCAACTGTATGGGAGCTAGGGTCTATATGCCAGCCTAAACTCTCTGGGCCATTGTAGTTCGGGACGAGACAGGACATCATGGGCTGTGGTGCTTCCGCGACGCCTGCTGCGGCTCCTGCAAAGGCCCCGGCAACCGGGGCACCTGCGGAACCTGATGCCAAGATGCCTGCCGCGCAGAAGTCCCTGAACAAGGAGGTGCCACGTGCAGGGCCGGTACCATGTAGGGGGGGTTGGGCCGTTTCTGGCCACAGCTTCAGCAGGCTTGGACTGTACTAGGGTGGGGTTCTGCATGCAGCTCAGCCATCCAAGACCAACAGGGTGACACTCTCAAGGCTTTCTAAGCTTTGGGCAGCGCGGTTTACTGTGAACACGTCTGCACATTGTCCTGGATGCATGTCTGACTTTACGAAAGTAGGGGACCCTTAACACAGACCCCCAAAGAGTAGGATCCCCTTACAAGAAGGACCCCGTGAGGTACCCAAAATATCGTCAACCCCCAACACGACATTAGGGGTACCCCATTGGGTCCGTATAAAAATTGAATCCTACTATTTGGGGTTTATTTAGGGGTCCCCTATTTTCGGAAGCCCCCAAAGAATTGGTTCCTAAACCCTAGACCCTAAACCCTAAACCCTAAACCCTAAACCCTAAACCCTGTGCGTCCGAGAGGCCCTATCTCCCCTCTTCGATCAGCATCCCATCCGGCTGCCTTGCCTTCCAGGCCGATGAGTGAGTGCTTTTACCGAAAGCCTTGCAGTTTAGGGTTTAGGGTTTAGGGTTTAGGGTTTAGGGTTTAGGGTTTAGGGTTTAGGGTTTAGGGTTATAAATAAGGGTTGAGTTGCGACAGTGCCAGGGGCTTGTGGCTTAGCGTTTAGCCTCGATTGCTTCCAGGTTACTTGGCTTCAGTTGTCATGACGAGAGGGCCCATTGGAGGTTCTGGGTACCTACAACCCAGCTGGAACTGTACTTATATGCCGCTTTTGAGGCCCTGAAGTATCAGATATGTAATTGGGCTATTACACAAGTAGGGGTGGGTGGGGGTTGTTCCCTAAACCCGAACCACCACTTCCGAGCCACAGACGACGCAGTGCTGTGGCGAGTCGGGTGGCAAAAAAGCCGAACCTTAGACCCCAAGCCCCTATAACTGGTAGGATTCTGCAGTGAAAGAGGACTAACAGATGGGGCTCCTTGTTCCCGCTGGGAGGTCTAAGGAAGTTCGGGGGGGTTTAGGGTTTAGGGTTCAGGGCTTAGGGTGTAGGATTTAGGGTTTAGGGTCCGCGGGCGAAGTCTCTTGGAAAGGGTCATAGGCAATCCTTGCTCAGTGTGGCTGTTATATAGAATATCTCTACGCATACAGCAGGTTCTGCTATTCGCATGCCTCTAAGCAGGCTTTCAAGTTGGAGCACTCCACCGAGATGACTACTAGTAGAGTTCGTGCAGGTGACATCATGGTGAGCGGTGACCTTCCCAAGGACTGAGGGGGGAAGGGTTTCGGGAAGGGGGCAAGGGGGAGGATCTTGCAGGTGGGGAGTGGGGACTGCGATAATGGCTCGGAGCACTGCCATTTGAACTTCATGGCATGGCTTGATGGTCTTTGTTTTTGGGAAGGCGAGAAACTCACAACATCGATTTCATGTTTGTATATTACATAGACCACATATTCTTCAACAAAAAATGTCGAGCTTCTGTAGCTGGGAAACACGACCGTCTACACCTTGAAGCAAACATCTGAATTCCTTTCAAGATGAGAATCCATTCTTTTTGGAGGAAGCGTGAGCGCCGTCAAGATGTTGCCTTAGAAATGCAAGCACGACAAGTTCACGCCCAAGCAACAGTCATACCAGGATGGGCTGTTCGGCCCTATAACCCCCCAGAAGCAGGCCTATAAAGGCCTGTCTTAGGAGTTATAGGGTTTAGGGTTTAGGGTGTAAGAGCCCATCCTGGTAATATCATAGCAGCCGCGCTTTCATGATAAGCCCATGTCGTTCGAGGAAGTGGTAGAGCAGCTGTCCGCACAATGCGCCGGCTGGCTGCCCTTGGGATGCAAGGGTTTAAGGTTTAGGGTTTAGGGTTTTAGGGTTTAGGGTTTAGGGTTTAGGGTTTAGGGTTTAGGGTTTAGGGTTCTAGGTTCTAGGGTTTAGGGTTCAGGGTTTAACTAGGGTTTAGGGGCTCATCGTAAGAATCGAGTTCATCATAGGGCGACCTGAGGCTTCGTCGAAACCATGAAGGGGCCAGCCTAGAATAGCGCACCCTAAACCCTAAACCCTAAACCCTAAACCCTAAACCCTGAACCGACAAGGTTTTGGAATTTCCTGAGCAATCAACTCCGCAGATCTCACCGCGAGCTTCAGGGTTTAGAGCTTAGAGTTCATTGGACTCAGGAATTCTGCGCGAGATTCTTCAGCCTAAGACCCTGACACCGACGCCACAGGTCATGATTGATGTGCTCTTTCTGGGGTAGGCCATATATACCCGAAACCCTAAACCCTAAACCCTAAACCCTAAACCCGAAACCCTAAACCCTAAACCAGTAAGGCTACCAATGCTTGAGGTGGTTTTCGTATGGTCATCACCAACACAACGCCAGCAATAAGGCTTGGTCACTTCAGTCAGGTCTGCCGGAACCAGGAATCATCTTGAAAGCCCTAAGGTTTAGGGTTTAGGGTTTAGGGCTTCGGGGCAGAAGACCTTCGAGGTATGTGAACCCTGACACGGACGCGCATTTCATGCCCGAAGTGGTGAAGTCCGCCGGCGTTCAGCTTCAAGTGCTCCCGGGCCATTGAACTGTGTGAGTTTTTGGGGCTCAGGGTTTTTGGGGTGTAGGATTAAACCCTAAACCCTAAACCCTAAACCCTAAACCCTAAACCCTAAACCCTATACCGACGGTTTATAATGTTGAAAGTTCAGGAGTTTCAGGCTGAAGGATCCGACCTCGCACCCCCTGAGGCTTGAAGCATGTACACCCCGAGGGCGCTCCCGTAAGCATGGGCACCTGAATAGGGTTTAGGGTTTAGGGTTTAGGGTTTAGGGTTTAGGGTTTAGGGTTTAGGGTTTAGGGTTTAGGGTTTAGGCGGTTTAGGGTTCCAAACCTAAGGGTACCACCTCAGGGAGCCCCCTTGAATTGCTGGTCTGCTGGAGAGGCATTCTGGAAGGTTTGGTGCCTCAGAGACATGATTTTGGAGGTTCGTGGGGTATGTTTTCCTGAAACGGCCGATTAGGGTTTAGGGTTGAGGGTTGAGGGTTTAGGGTCTAGGGTTTAGGGTTTAGGGTTTAGGGTTTATCGCTTAGGGTTTGGGGTTTAGGGCTTATTCGGGTTTCTGTAGGACCTTGATGCAACTATTCCTTTCATATGTAACCACCGCTACTTCCGAAGAAGATCTGAAGCTACGCGCAGAAAAGGCTTCCGCTGAAGCTGGACGACCTGCCTGCAGGTGTGTGGCTGCCTTTATTTTGTGGCTTCGCGGGGTTGTGAAATCATCGGGTTCGAAGGGTTTAGGGTTTAAGGTTTATAGGGTTTAGGGGTTAGGGTTTAGTGTGTTGCTTTCGGCAGGGCACCTGTTCATGGAAGGACGATGATGGAAAGTCTGGTGATCCTTCTCTTTAATGTAATTTCGATTTCGCAAAGAGATTAGAGAAGCAAGCGCGCTGGTCGGTCCAGAGAATCGCGGGAGGCCGCGTGGACGAGATCCTGCAGTCCATCCAGACGCTGCCGCGACCCCTCATGATCCAGCGCCCGGGATTGAGGATTGAGGGTATGGTAATTACAATAGGGTTCTGGGTCTGATTATTGTCTAATCATATATAGGGACGAGAAGGGAACACCATTAGTAATCATTCCGACCCGTATATTACATCTCTCTCTCTCTCTCTCTGTGGGTATATTTTTTCTAAAGGCGTGTTAGGGTTTAGGGTTTAGGGTTTAGGGTTTAGGGTTTAGGGTTTAGGGTTTAGGGTATTGTATGTATAGCTTGCGATAGCACTCTTCGGGCCTACTCACTTCTATCTCTTGGGGGCGTTTGGGGGCGTGATTGGCGTTGGAGACTGCGCAAAGCCTGCACCCCGGCCTTCCCTAAGGGATCGCCGGCTTTGAAACGTAGGATTTAGGGTGTATAGGGTTTGGGGTTTGGTGCTTAGGGTTTAGGATTCTCCCGGCATTTTCTGCAGTTAATACTGTGGCGCCAGTGTATAGACGATCCTGTAAAACCCAAAGAATTTGCCCCACAAAACCCACTTTGGATAAATTTGGTCTCCATACCAATGAATATATAATTGTTGTGTCAGGGAGTAAGTGCATTGTCTGACGCTGGAGCTTCAAATTTCGGGTGTTGTTTAGCCGTCGTGCCTTGGGGTGGTGGGAATCGCTCCAGGTCGGCTTTAGGGTTTTAGGGTTTAGGGTTTAGGGTTTAGGGTTTAGGGTTTAGGGTCAATATCATGAGATGGAGCGAAGTGGGATATGTCTTTGGTGCCGGCAGATATCGCGCAGAGGCCGGATGCAAAAAGAAAGCTTCGGTGTAGGGTTTGGGGTTTTGGGCTCTGCTGTGAACCGAGGCCTGCTGTAAAAAGGGTTTAGGGTTTTGGTTTAGGGTTTAGGGTTTAGGGTTTAGGGTTTAGGGTTTAGGGTTTAGGGTTTAGGGTTTAGGGTTTAGGGTTTAGGGTTTTGGTTTAGGGTTTAGGATTTAAGTTTTGGGGCTTAGGGAGAAAGGGTTTAGTTTAGGGGCTACTGAAAAGTTTGGGGTGCCGAGGTGCACCAGCGCCAACCGTGCCGCCCTCGCGCTGCTCATGTGGATGGCAAGGTCCCTATGTTTAGGGTTTAGGGTTTAGGGTTTAGGGGTCCATGTACCTAAATAGGGGATACTTGGGCCTAAAAGTACCTCCTATTTAGGGACTTTAGGGCCTAAGTACAGAATAAAGAGGTACATGGACCCTTAGGGTCTATCTCTCTCGCTCTTGCTCTTTCTTCTCACCTTAAGGCTCCAAGACCCTCATATCGAGGGACTGGTACCTCCTAAGGAGGGTTCTGGGTCTCAATAGGGCCGAAGGCCTTAGGGCAGTTGTTCTGAGACCAGCTCAGCTAGTCGTTAGCGACTGGAGCAGTCGCTAGATGGGTGGCAAAAGGAATCCCAAATCCTACACCATGAACCCCAAACTGCCCCAAACCCTAAACCCTCAGCCCCAAGCCCTAAACCCTGAACCCTAAACCCTCAACTCAGACCCGGAGGACGGTAGGCTACACGGGTGCGTCTGCAGAGCTCCTGGTGAAGGATGCCGATGAAGGGGGCTTACCGTGGCTTACCTCCGTCTGCAACTACTACAGCAACTGTTGCCCTAAACCCTAAACCCTAAACCCTAAACCCTAAACCCTGAACCCTGAACCCTGAACCCTAGAAGGCCTAAGCCATTCCAGCATGGGCTACTGTACTCTATATAACCCCAAAACAGGCCCTTTATAGGGTTGATTCTGGGGAGTACAGGGCCTACTAGCCCATGCTGGTACAGCACCTGTTACTTTCGTGACTTTTGTGGATGGCTCTAAGGATTCTGAGGCTGTACAAGTCCTACCACGAATCCGACAATAAACTCTAGAGAAGTGTACCAAAACACCTAAGTTTCAGGGGGGGATCCCGCACCACGGTTCGGGTTGAGGACTTCACTTTTTCATGTTTCGGGAAATCATAAAAACAGTATTGGCTTAGGGAAGAAAAGGGCTCAGGAAAAGGTAAAAGTGCTTTTGCTTAGAGACTCAGGTTTTAGGAGGGTTTTGGGTTTGACAGCTTTAGGTCTGGAGTCTCAATGCAAAACAATAAACACCATAATCCCTGTAAGCCCCAACAAACCCTGCAAAGACCCCCCCCCCCCAACAAAAAAAAAAAAAAAAAAAAACCCTAAACCCGATGAATCCTGTAGGGCTTGTAAACTTACAAGTAGGGTCAGAAGTACCCTGTCTTCCCCACTTTCAACCCTACTCATAAGTACCTCATGACAATAAACCCTAAACCCTAAACCCTACACCCTAAACCCAATAAATCTATAGACCCTAAGCTCCCTGTACGCCCTCTGGAGACGGTCCAAGAGGATCCTCGGGTTTAGGGTTTATAGGGTCAGTCCTGGCATGAAGCAGCTTCCACGTTCACGAGGGTTTAGGGCTTAAGGTTTAGAGGTTAGGGTTAGGGGAACCCTAAACCCTAAACCCTAAACCCTAAACCCTAAACCCTAAACCCTAAACCCTAAACCCTAAACCCTAAACCCTAAACCCTAAACCCTAAACCGTTATGTTTTGGAGGACCTTGCTCTGGACACCATGAAGCCCGAAGCAACAAAGTGGATGGTGGACCAGCTCCACGTGGTCGGGCAGAAGGCGATAGGGTTTGGGGTTGAGGGTTTAGGGTTTAGGGTGTAGGGTTTAGGGTTTAGGGTTAGGGGTTTAGGGTTCGATTTCGGGGGTTCAGGGTTTAAGGTTTACGGGTTCTGGTAAGAAGGCATCCCTACCACCACCAACAAAGCACCTTCCAAGCTCTGAGGGTGTTCCAGCGCCGCTCTCTATTCCAGAGGCCCAGGATGGGACCCTACCCACCTTAAACCCTAAACCCTGAACCTTATATACCCTAAACCCTAAACCTTATGAACCCTTAAACCTTAAACCCTAAACCTTATAAACCCTAAACCCTGTAAACCCTGTGGAGTAGTGCGTTCTTTCTGCGAGAACAGAGCCTAGGATGTATCCGAGGCTCCAGGAGTTCCATTCTTGGGGCCGAGTTCAGAGGGCATTTGGTATTTAGGGTTTAGCGTTTAGGGTTTAGGGTTCAGCAGCTTCAGTTACCCTAAGGGTCCATTTACCCCATCATCATGTACTTGGGCCCTAAAGTCCCTAAATAGGAGGTACTTTTAGGCCCAAGTATTCCCTATTTCGGTACATGGACCCTTAGGGTTACACAGGGCCTTCCGCAAGAATGGCTCTCACCAGTCACAAAAAGCAAGACTCAAAGCCCTCTCAACCCTGAGCCTGAGGCCCCCTAATCCCTAAGGCATATTTTTTGGGGCTTGGGGTTTAGGGTTGAGGGTTTAGGGTTACACCCCGAGCCCTTAACCCTTGCCCCGCCCCTAAACCCTTCAACCACTACCCCCCCCCCCCCCCCAGCCGAGACCACATTCTCACGACACATGAGCCTCTCAAACCGAAAAGCACCAAAAGCCCCAAACCCTAAAGCCGCTTAACTCCTCAACCCCTAAACGCCAGACCTTGAAACCCTCAACCTTGAGCCCGAAACCCCAACAGCCCAAACCCCTAAGCCATGAACCCTCAACCTCAAACTCTAAGAACCTAAACCCCGAAATCCTAAAGCCCGCAATAACCCGAAAGCCCCAAACCCCAAACCCCAAACCCCTCAACCCCTCAACCCCTCAACCCCTCAACCCCTCAACCCCTCAACCCCTCAACCCCTAAACCGACTCAACCCCTAAACCCTAAACCCTAAACCCTAAACCCTAAACCCTAAACCCTAAACTGCCGGCCAGAATGGGCCTCTGATTGAGCGGAGCCCCGAGGCTGGCCTGTCCCGGTGCTTCTACGGCTGCTCTTCAGGGGTTTTGCAGGGCTTTGAAGGGTTTAGGGTTTAGGGTTTGGGGTTTAGGGTTTAGGGTTTAGGGGTTAGGGGTTTAGGGTTTAGGGTTTAGGGTTTAGGGTTTGGGGTTTGGGGTTTAGGGTTTAGGGTCTAGGGATAAAAGTCCGTTGCTCAAACGGGACTAGGGATACAGGCAAGAAGCAGGGCTCAAGTAGATCAAACCCTAAACCCTAAACCCTAAACCCTAAACCCCTAAACCCCTAAACCCCTAAACCCCTAAACCCTAAACCCTAAACCGTTGTGCTCTGCAACTCCGCTTCCAGGTTCGTCAGCTCTTTGACCCGGAGAGCTCTACGCTGAGCTATTTGGTCGCCTGCCCAGCCACTTCGGTTGCAGGGTTTAGGGTTTAGGGCTTAGGTTTTTTTGGACTTTCATGGGTACTTACAAGCAAGCCTGCAGGCAGCGTGCCGGACAGGAGGGGTTTAGGATTAGGGTTCAGAGTTTTCTGGGCTCAAGAGAGTTTAGGGTTTTGGGCTACTGGAGGTTCATGGGTACTTGCAAGTAGGGTTTTCAACCGGCGTATTTACGGTACTTACCTACTTCGGTTGCAGGGGTTGCAGCTTGGCAGCCCAGTGGTGCCCTTTGCCCTTTTTCTTCTTCAAGGTTCCCTGTTTCAAGGTAGCCAACCCGCAGAAGGGTCTAGAGCTTAGGGTTTGCGAGTGCCAGCTGGGCAGGTGGCAAAAAAAAACCTAAACCCTAAACCCTAAACCCTAAACCCTAAACCCTAAACCCTAAACCCTAAACCCTAAACCCTAAACCCTAAACCCTAAACCCTAAACCCTAAACCCTAAACCCTGAGTCTGCTAAACCCTGAACCCGAGGCCCACTTTAAGGTTCATGGGTGCGTAGAAGTAGGCTTCACTACTATTTGCGCAGGAACCCCCAAAAATTATATGTATATATATATATATATATATGTATATATATATATATACAGTAAAATATGGACGAACTTTTTTTGTTTTTTGGGGGGTTCTTATAAGCAAACAGTAGCTTACGATAACCCAAGTATGGTTGTTACCATACCTAAGGGCCTCAAAAGACCATGTACCTGAATCAAGGAAACCCTAAACCTTAAACCTTAAACCCTAAACCCGGAATCAAGGAAACCCAGGAGGCCGTGCTGATTGACCCGGTCCTGGAACACAAGGCAGGATTCCTAGTGTTTAGGGCTTTAGGGTTTTGGGTTTTGGGGTAGGCCGGATTCCTAGTGTTTAGGGGTTTAGGGTTTTGGGTTTTGGGGTTAGCGGGGTGGAGGGTTCGGGCTTGGGCGTCCGGATGCTTAGGTTTTTACTATAGGGTTTGTAGCCTTCAGATGTTTGTGTGTTGTCTTAGCGGTGGTGATGAACACAGCTACCGCCACCCCCATCACTAGCCCTCCCACCACCACCAGTACCGGCGTTCTCCTCCGCGTCTTCCTCCTCCTCCCCTCTTCAGCATCTTCATCATCACCGCTACCATGGCCCACGACATCTGCCCGTTTAATCACAGCACTAAACCCTAAACCCTAAACCCTAAACCCTAAACCCTAAACCCTAAACCCTGTACTTCGCCTGTTCTGCGCTCAAGATCACCCAATTTTTTCGGAGCTTCCCGGAGCTGCGCAATAAAGCAGCCGGCCATTCCCCCCCCTTCATCCCTCCTCTGCCCCTTCCCAGCATGCCTACTAAGGGGTTTAGGGCCTATAGGGCTTAGGGTCCAGGGTTAAAAGCAGCGGAATGCAATGAGCCTGGAGCGAAACCACCAACTAACCAATAGCTATCCAAATAAAACCCGAGAAATGACGCTGGGCAGCGCCAGCGAGAAATCGGAAATACATATTTAGACGGTACCGGCGACTTCATGATTGAGGCCGATTGAAATTTGAAGCAGGCCAGCAGCGAGCCGCCAGCCGTCAAACTGTTGATTGCGTGAATTGCTAGTGCTTGTGCAGCATTCAGCAAGCCAGCAAACCAACACAGCATTTGCAGCTCAGCAAGTGCCTTTGTCCTGTTCCAATGCTCATCGGGGCGACGGTTGTTGTTCACTTCAAGATTGTCGCGTGTTGAGTTGGCCCAAGTACAGAAGCTTCAGAGAACTTCCAGGGGCCTCCCAGGCCCAGCTTTTTGCGTTTGCACGCTTCCATCCATGCTGGCGTGGCGTTGCGTCGCCGAGCCGGCCATAGGTGTCACGAAGGTGGCCTACCGCACTTCGACCACTCTAGCAGAGAAGAGCCGCCGAACGTGCTCAGAGGGCGAGACCTTCTTTGGCAAGTCCGTGACTGGGCAAGATGGCTCTATGTGGCTGTCCAACGAGTCTAACGGGCTCTTTCTGCCGTTGCTGCATCCTCAGACAAGGACTCCGATGTTTGAGCAAGTGCGCTGGGAGTGTATTTACAATGGCACTGTGCTTGGCCGGAAGACCCCCAATGCCTCGGACGCCGGGTAGCCCAGTGGTACCCTTTACCCCTTTTTTTGCTCTGGGTTCCCTTAGAAATTAACCAACCAAGAAAAGGGTGCCCTTATCATAAGATGGTTACTGGGCTACCCAAGTGTCCCTAAACCCTAAACCCTAAACCCTAAACCCTAAACTCTAAACCCTAAACCCTCCCTAAACCCTGGGCTACCAAGGATATATCCGAGACTTTTGTGAAGACCGGCCAGACGATTCCGGCTCTGCCCGTGCCAGACAGTCCTGGCTGGCTCAAGGCGGCTGACAGCAAGCTCTTCTTTCCCATGAAGCTTAGGGATCATTTTGGGGAATAGTTTTTGCTATCATTCCTAAGAAACAGCTAGAATTATCATTTTGGGGAATAGTTTTCTAGTTTTTGGTGTACTATAACTCCTAAAGAAACAGCTGAGATTATAGTTTTTTGCTGGCTATCCAAGATCATAGGAACCACCTCGAGACCGGGGTCGCACTGTTCAAGCCACCGATGTCGGCTAAGAAAGCGTGCGATCGAGCTTCCGAGGATGGGCTCATGAACCTCTTGCAAAAGGCCACTTACTTGGCCTTAGGGTTTAGGGTTTAGGGTTTAGGGTTTAGGGTTTAGGGTTTAGGGTTTAGGGTTAGGGTTTAGGGTTTAGGGTTTAGGGTTTAGGGTTTAGGGTTTAGGGTTTAGGGTTTAGGGTTTAGGGTTTAAGGTTACAGCTGCCTAGCTCCCCAGACTTACTTCCCCCAAGAATTGAACTTGAAACTTTTTTGGGCTTCCTTATTTAGTAGGAAGAATATAAAGTCTAACTTGTTTTCCACTTGTTTTTAGTAGGAAGAATATAAAGTCTAACTGGTTTTCCCCTTGGTTATTGGAGAAGCCAAGGCCAGGTTGACGGAGTATCATTCCAAGTTCCTCTCCTTCGGGTACCGGACGGTGGAAGATGTGCTTCTTACCTTCGCCTTGAGTTGAACTTTAAACCTTTTGGGGCTTCCTTGTTTGGTAGGAATCTTAAAGTCTAACCTTTTTCCCTAAACCCTAAACCCTAAACCCTAAATGTTGGAGAAGTAAGGCTTTCCATGAGTGTGCAGGACATGAAGGAGGTCGGCCTCCTAAGTGGCTCAGTAGCCCAGTGAGTACCCTTGTTTAGGGTTTAGTGTTTAGGGTTTAGGGTTTAGGGTTTAGCCCTTTCTTTGGGGTATGGGTTCCCTTATAAAAGTAACCAACCCAAAAAAGCTGTGCCCTTATTCTAATATGGTCACTGGGCTACTAAGGTGGGCATAGGTTTCGTCTGGCGCACCTCCTACCAGTGAAGCGCGCACATCCTGCTGCTGACCTGCCGCCCCGGCTTCCACCCTGCGCCGTCTCAGGTTGTTTGCATCCGGGCACGACGCGATGTCAGAATGTGTGTTTGGAGGCACGAGGTTTGAACCACGTGCAGCGGGTTCAGTGTGCCAACGTTGTATGTCCTGTCCACACGCACGCCGTCAAGTTTCGCCAACACATTGGTCCAGACCTGTACGTTTGGCACGAGAACCTCGTGTGCCCAACGTGCAACAAAGATCGACCAGTCGACCTAGATGGCTGTTGCGTTCTCCAGTGAAGCATTGCCAGATGTATTTCATGTGTGTAAAGCTGAGATCCAGACCAGGATGGGCCATTAAACGCTACAATCCCCTAAAAGGCCCTTTATAGGGTTCATTATGGGGATTTTAAGGCCCAATAGCACATCCTGGAAAGAGGGTCAACTCTGCGAGCCGTCCAGCCTTCCGGCACTCTGCGTGTATAGGCGTCTGATGCAGCTGGTACTTGGCCACTGCGTTTTTTGGCAGGGAGCGAGAGGTTGGTTGATGGCTGCATGTAGTTTCTTACCTGGCAAGCGTATCCCTCTGCACAAGAATTTGTTGCATTGAGGTCAGATATGCTCCGTAAGGATATGTTAAGCCTGTCCTTGCGCAGCCCCTTGCCGTGAAGCTTCGCACGGATCCTCTTGCAGATTTTTTCAAAGTTGCTTATTGTATAGCCGGGTCCCCCCATTTTGAAACGGGAGAGGGCCTTCACTCCTTTATTTCTGATTTCAGTCACGCACTGAAATCACAGTTGTCACGGGCCCAGTGCCTGCAACACCAGTTGCGAGAGCTCGCTGGAAAACAGAGATGTGGAGGTTCACGGGTACTTGTGAGTCGGGTTGAAGAACTCTTAAAGAGGCTATGGCCATAGCTACCCTATTACCCATCAGCTCCCAGTACGCAGCACGAGTCTTTTCGCAACCCTTGCAACCCGGCCCCTCTCAAGGCCAAAGCTCCCCAACAAAACGAGCTCACGCCAAAAAACCCTAGACTTGCCCTAGAGCCTAAATGCCAAACCCGAATCCCCAAACCCGAGAACCTAAACCTGAATCCCCAAGCCCTAAACCCGCAGTGCAGTCGCGCTGAGACAGCGCCGAGTAAACCGCACACCCCAAACCCTAAACCTCAAGCCCGAAACCCTAAACCCTACAGGGTTTGAAGAATTCCCCCCCCCCCCCACCCCAAACCCCAAAACCAAAACTCTAACCCCTAAAGGGTTTAAAGTTGCCCCCCAACCCTAAACCCCTAAACCCTAACCCCTACAGGGTTTAAAGTTGCCCCCTCTAAACCCTGAACCCGAAGCCCTAAACCCCAAAGCGTTTGAAGTTGCTACCCCAAACCCTAAACCCTAAACCCTAAACCTTAAACCCTAAACCTAAACAAAGCAACCTCGAACGAGGACCGAGACCTGGCCCTCATCTCAGAGCTGGGCCTGAAGCTCATCTACGCCACACGCCTGCATACTAGGGTTTAGGGTTTAGGGTTTAGGTTTTAGGGTTTAGGGCAACTTGGTGGCTCGTGGATACTTCTAAGTGGAGTGATAAGTTGGGGAACTACGGTTCTGCCGGCTTCACACTGATCTGCGGAAGCCCAGGGACCGACTTCTAGACCCTACTTGGGGGGCGGGGGGGGGCTTCCGAGATTAGGGGTTTAGGGTTTAGGTTGAGGGTTTAGGGTACCCATTGGGGTCCTCATTATAAGGGAGTCCTACTATTTGGGACGACAATAGGGCCACTTATGTTCGTAAACCCCCACTTGCTGGTTGATTTAGGTAATTGTAAGTAGGGCTACTTATTATATATGATTGCAACCTTTTTCAGGATTCTTTAGAGCCCTACTTGTAAAGTACCCATGAGCCTCCAAGTAAACCCCAGCAAGCCCTTCTTCGTCGATGTTCCAGTCGCTCGCCTGAACCCTAAACCCTAAACCCTAAACCCTAAACCCTAAACCCTAAACCCTAAACCCTAAACCCTAAACCCTAAACCCTAAACCAATGCCTGAGGTCCTCAACACCCATTGCCACGCCGACCACATCACCTCGGGTGGGCTCATCCGCAAAGACATGCCAGAGGCCGGGCTTTAGGGTTTAGGGTTTAGGGTTTAGGGTGTAGGGTGTAGGGATTAGGGTTTAGGGTTTAGGGTTTAGGGTTTGCTGTGATAGGGCGTAGATGCTGTGAAGGTTAGGTTTCGGAACAAGCTCGAAAGCTTCGTGAGGTGCTGAAGAGCAGCTTTGGCCCGATTGTGGAGGGCCATCTAAACACTTTTCTCCCACCCCACGCCGTCCAAGGCGGCAAAGCCACCCAAACCTATTCCTTTTAGGGTTTAGGCCTAAACTCAGACGACAGTCCACTCTTCAAAACTTTGATGTTGGTTGAATCCGAGAGTCAGGGGTGAAGGTAAGATAGAGGCCCCGAAAGCCGGGCCAGTAGGGCAGGGTCAGGGGTCAGGGGGCCGGGCGGGGCACAAACAGAGAGTGGGTGAGGGGGGTCAGAGGCCCAGAGGGCCGGAGCTGGCGGGCCAGAAAAACCGATTTTTGAGCACCCGCCCTGCCTGGGTCGGCCTGAGGCCCCCTGGTCCCTGAGCACGCTGCGGCGAAGGGTCCGGGTCCTCCTGGCCTAGGGGCCCGGGGGTACCCCAAAAAGGCCAGCGACCCCCAAATTCAGGGGGGTGGGGTTTAGGGTAATGACTTTATTATAAGGGACCAGTACTGGTCCTGAGGAGAACGTGTTCCGGTACCGGGCTTAAGCGCCACCCCCCAACGTAGGGCGGCCTAGGCGCTGAGTTTAGGGTTTAGGGTTGAGAAGCCCTGATCCAGCCACAGGTTGTGTTGCACAGGCCTTCTTCCCACCCCCCAACAACCACCAAGAAAACGCACCTAACAACCCTCCCCCCCGCTCCCCAACCCTAAACCCTAAACCCTAAACCCTAAACCCTAAACCCTAAACCCTAAACCCTAAACCCTAAACCCTAAACCCTAAACCCTAAACCCTAAACCCTAAACCCTAAACCCCTCCCCCCCGCCCCCCCTCCCCCATTTTCCTTGCAGAAGCCGTCGAGGTGAAGACCATCATCTCAGAGAGCTCGGGCGCAAAGGCCGCCAGAGACCCCAGCGAGGGAGGGATTAGGGGAGGGTTTGGGGGGATTAGGGTTTAGGGTTTAGGGTTTAGGGCTTAGGGGTAATCAGGGATACTTGGGAATAGTTTTTAGTTTTTGGGTACTGCAATCCCTAAGAAACAACTAAAATCACAGTTTTTGCTAGGGTTCCATTGTCAGAAAAGGGACTAGGGGGATTATGGGAGGGGTCAGGGCGGTTGATGGGGTTTATGGTGACTCTGGATTTGACGGTTGAGTTTTATGGGTTTGGGGTGGTTATGGAAGGAGGGGGGCATATGGGGGTTGTTCGCGGGGCGTAGAGCCTCAGCATGCGGGGCTTGACAGAAACTTACGTGGGCTCCTCGTCATGATGCTTATGAAATTTTGCGGTGCGGCAGGGGTTCTCTTATTCGTAGGAATCCCTCAACCCCTGCCGAGCCAAGCCCGCAGCACTTCCGAGGACATGCACATCAAGCACGGCGACACGGTGAAATTTGGGAGCCTGGCATTGGAGGTAGCTGCGGGCGTGCTGTGAGGGCTCCTTCAGGGCCCCTAACCTCAAACCCCAAAGCCTCAAAACGACTCCTCCTACCTACCTTGTGCTGCTTTTGACCCCCAAGTCCTCAGTAGCTGAGTGAGTACACTTTACACTTTTTGGGATACGATCATCCCCTATAGAACTGTACACTTTGTTTGGGGCTTATGACCTCAGCAACGAAGAGTCTGGGGCAGGTTCGCGCAACTCCAGGGCACCCTGGCTGAAGTTGAGCCGATACTGGGATCTGCGGTCCCAGACAACACCCTGAGCCGCAAGTAAAGAATGTGCTTTGAATGATTTCGATGCATTTAGGGTTCAGGGTGGTTTAGGGTTTAGGGTTCAGTGTCTAGGGGTTTGGGGTCTATAGGGTCTATAGTTCTACAGGGTTTAGGGTTCAGGGTTCAGGGCCTGGGTTGATTGGGTTTGAAGAAGTTGGCGCAACTCTAATCACGTAGTAGACATCCTATTCCCACACCCTACAGGAGTTTTGGGTTTAGGGTTTAGGGTCTAGGGTCCGTAACACCCAAAAACCCCTGATTGCACACCCTTATAGACTCAAAGGCACACAGATGGCTGCGTGACCTATGTGCTGCGGACGAAAACCGCAACCTTTGCCTTCACTGGCGATACCTTGCTCATCCGAGGCCCCTTGCTTCTGAAAACCCTAAACCCTCAAACCCTCAAACCCTGAAACCCTGAAACCCTACACCCTAAACCGGAAGTTCATCTACCTTGAAACCTTAAACCCTAAACCCCAATATCGGGAGTGGAACTGCCAGCTGCAGAAAGCTAGACATGGAAAGCCCGAAGCTAGAACAGACCTGCGGAGGTCAGCTCATTTTATCACAAGAGAGGGCAGAGAGAGAGACAGGGGAAGCGAGAGAGCGAGAGAGAGAGAGAGAGAGAGAGAGAGACTTTCTGGCAACTGCCCCCCACCCCCACAGAGGCTGAAACACATAGGCGACGCGCTTCAAACGACATCAAGTCTCACCGGAACAGGCTGCGGCCGCACCGACTTCCAGCAGGGAAGCTCTCGGCGGCTCTATGCAAGTGTGCACGAGCACCTCGGCTCAAAGAGCTAGACGCGCTTGGCCCGGGCGATTTCACACCCAAGTGCCGGACTGCTTTTCTCAGGACCCATGGGTTTCTTCAGTCCACATCAACAGTTTTGAAGGAAGGGGTTTAGGGTTCAGGGTTTAGGGTTTAGGGTTCGAGGGGCCATTGGTGCTTCCAGCAATCCTGAATCCTGAAGGCAGATCTTCTCACTGCCGGGAGACACCATCATCTGCGCCGGCCACGACTACAAAGGCATCACCCCCGCGTCTCGAACCCCGAGCTGAAACCGCCGCCCCCCAAGGGAGTGGGGGCGAGTATTTATACGGCTTTGACTGGCTTAGGGTGTATACAGGGTGGGACCCCTTACTATACTAACTGTAGTTAAGGGACTTATAACCTAACTTAGGGTCCTTATAACCCAATTTAGGGCCCTTATAACTCTACTTATAACTAGGGGGCCCCACCCTGTATAGGGCTTCTGTTCATGGTTTGGGGCTTAAGTAGCCGCATCTTGCTTGGGGCTTAGAAGGCTTTATCTTATGGTTCAGGACTTCTGAGGCTTTGTGTGGGTTAGGACCTTATAGGGCTTAGGAGCCGATATGTCAAGGCTTTTGTACGCATTAGCTTTAATGAAGCTTCCCATGGCTACGGCTTGGAATGCTTTACAAGGTCCACAATCTCCAGCCGAGTTATTTTGGGGGTGGAGTCGACGTCGGGAGTTTCTGGGTTGAGGGTTCAGGGCAAATCAAGATCCATAGTAACGAGCTTATGTTGAGCTACCAGAAACTGGATCTATACAAACACACACATATATATCTACATAATATATATATATATATATATATATATGTATACGAATTGATATTAGGGCTTCCTGATGATGGCATTTCGCTTCCAAGAAACTTCAACGCAAATTTTCCGGCGCCGGGGGGTGCCGACTGGCAACTCGGGCTCCCTGTTTGGGGCTTGCAGGAATCTGTAAGGGTTTAGGGTTTAGGGTTTAGGGTTTAGGGTCCATGTACCTCTTTCTTCTGTACTTGGGCCCTAAAGTCCCTAAGTAGGAAGTACTTTTAAGCCCAAGTATCCCCTAATTCGGTACATGGACCCCTATAAGGAATATGAAAGAGGCTTTCAGGCTTCGGGGGGTTTACAGCTTGCGCTTCAGGCCTTCCATCCTTAAGCGCATAAGGTTCTCAAGTCCCTCACTAGACTTGACTGATGTCTCAGCAGTTTTTGGGGCCTCTGCTCCCCCGAAGACGCTGACCACACCAAGAAAGCCGCACCCTAAACCCTAAACCCTAAACCCTAAACCCTAAACCCTAAACCCGAAGCCCGCATCCTGCGAAGGCCGGAGTGTCTCCACTGTGGAGGAGGACGGAGGGCGCTGGGCCAGCAAGTCACCCTCAGCCCAACACAGGGTGTTCAAGGTTTAGGGTTTAGGGTTTAGGGTTTAGGGTTTAGGGTTTAGGGTTTAGGGTTCAGGGTTTAGGGTTTAGGGTTTAGGGTTTAGGGTTCAGGGTTTAGGGTTTGAGGCCTCGGGCCTACAAGCTTCGGAGCTTTGACCAGTTTGCTGCGGGCTCCAGATGGCCAAGCACGAGACATACAGGGTGGGGCCCCCTAGTTATAAGTAGAGTTCTAAGGGCCCTACATTGGGTTATAAGGACCCTAAGTTAGGTTATAAGTAGAGTTATAAGTAGAGTTATAAGTAGAGTTATAAGTAGAGTTATAAGGGCCCTACATTGGGTTATAAGGACCCTAAGTTAGGTTATAAGTAGAGTTATAAGTAGAGTTATAAGTAGAGTTATAAGTAGAGTTATAAGTAGAGTTATAAGGGCCCTACATTGGGTTATAAGGACCCTAAGTTAGGTTATAAGTAGAGTTATAAGTAGAGTTATAAGTAGAGTTATAAGTAGAGTTATAAGGGCCCTACATTGGGTTATAAGGACCCTAAGTTAGGTTATAAGTCCCTTAACTACAGTTAGTATAGTAAGGGGGCCCCACCCTGTACGTCCACCCCCTTGTCCCTTCCCTCCGCCTCCCCTCCCCCCCTCCCCTCGACCACTTCCCCCCCCCCCCCCCCCCCCCCCCCTCGCAGAGCCGCAACGAAGGACAAAAACATCATGACCCAAACCCTAAACCCTAAACCCTAAACCCTAAACCCTAAACCCTAAACCCTAAACCCATCCTCGAGTTCGCTTCCAGCCAATCCTCATCAGAAAGAGGGCTTGAAGCTTGTAACCCTAAACCCTAAACCCTAAACCCTAAACCCTAAACCTGTGACCTGTGATCAGCGCGGCGGGTGGCAACAAAAAAAAGCACCCACACCCAAATACACGGGGCTGTTTGTTACCCTAAACCCTAAACCCTAAACCCCAAACCCCTAGAACAATGTTGCACGGGATGCCCCAAACCCCGGGATTCAGGAGCGAAGGTTCAACCCAAGGCTGACGAAGACGGTGGAGGAGCCAGAGTCTTTGGGTTTAGGGTTTAGGGTTTGGGGTTTATAGGGTTTAGGGTTTAGGGTTTAGGGTTCGGGGATGTTTAGGGTTCATAGGGTTTTAGGGTTTAGGGTGGCTGGGGGGGGGGGGGGGTTGCAAGGTACCTTCTTCAACCCTAAAACCCTGAACCATAACAAGCCCTTTGTTAATCTTTGGTGGGCTTTATGGGGTAAGGTAAGGACTTCGGGTGGTTGAGCTTCAGGGCCTGTGCGTAGTTTCCCGTTTCATTTTCACATGGGAGTTCTCATTGCGCGGAGTCAGACAGAACTCTGTGGGTGCTTGGGATTGTTGAAGTGCATTTGAAAAGGGCTTTTGAGGATTCGGGTCTTGCAACCCTTAAGACCCTAAACTGGGGATGTTCCCCCTTACTGCCAGCAGTCCTTACTAGGGGTTATAGTACCCCCATTATGGTCTCTACTGAGGACTGTTAGTATAAGGGGGAACATCCCAAAACTTTCTCCTAAGACGGCTCTCATACTACCTTAAGGGATCTTAAAGGATCTTACAACAGGGTCCCCAATCCCAACCCTAAACCCTAATTAGAGGCTTGAAGTTCGAGCTCAGACTAATGCGCAGAGTCAGCAGCAAGGGCTGTTGTGGGAGCTCGGGCAACGATGAGACACCAAATTTGTGCAGCGTTACGGGATTAGGGTTTAGGTATTGAAGTACAGTAAAGGGTTTAGGGAAGCTTAGGGTTTAGGGTTTAGGTTAGGTGCCCACTCAACTCAGGTGGGGCCCCCTTACTATGCTAACTGTAGTTAAGGGACTTATAACCTAACTTAGGGTCCTTATAACCCAATTTAGGGCCCTTATAACTCTACTTATAACTAGGGGGCCCCACCCTGTAAACCCTACAAAAGCCGTCTAAACTCCCAAGCCCTGCCGCAGGAGTTCGAGGAGCTGATGGCCAATCTAGGCCTGCTTTGCTTGTGTGGGACTGTTGGCATACCACCGTAGACAGCAACGGGGAAGTTTCCTAAACGCTTAGGATTCCCTTAATCCTAGATCCTAAACCCTAAACCTTAAACCCTGAACCCTGAACCCTGAACCCGAACAGGGCAGTGGACGACAGGATGACCCTTGCCTGCCTTCGTGGGACTGTGAGAGCCGAAGTCCTGAACGCTAAACGCTTTAAGCCAAAACCCTAGAAATCTTTGAATCTTGGGATGTTCCCCCTTGTTCTAGCAGTCGGGATTATCGTACCCCTAGCATAATCCCCACTCAGAACTGTTAGTAGAAGGGGGAGCATCCCAACCTGAAACCCAAAATCTGAATCTCCGCAAGTCCCACCTGTGGAGGGCTACCAAACCCGAAGAAGATCGACGTGGCGGTTCCAGCCAACATGGTCTGCGGCGTGCAGGCACATGGAATACAGGGCCCTCGATTTGTAGACAAGGGCCATGGGTTTAGGGTTTAGGGTTAGGGTTTAGGTCTCGGGCATGTCCTTACAACCCTCTTTGTCTCTGGGTTTAGGGTTCAGGGTTTAGGCTTTAGGGTTTAGGGTTTAGGGTTTAGGGTTTGGGGCCCTCTTTGTCTCTGTGTATAGGCGGCACTTGAGTGGTTATGTATGTTTACATCTTCCTTTATTGCTGCTGCAAACGGCATTGAGTTGCCAGTGGGTCCTTCTGCTATTGTGGCTCCTGCTGCGAAGTCCCCGAGACCCTACGGCATTGAGTTGCCAGTGGGTCCTTCTGCTATTGTGGCTCCTGCTGCGAAGTCCCCTAGACCCTAAACCCTAAACCCTAAACCCTAAACCCTAAACCCTAAAGCCTGAACTGTCCAAGTTGGTGGGAAACCTTCTTCCCAGGACGAACCCGAGACAGCCGAAGTGACGACCGGCCCACCAGAGGCATGATTGGCCTTTGCCATCTTGGCTTGAGCTTGTGGGTTTAGGGTTTAGGGTTTAGGGTTTAGGGTTTAGGGTTTAGGGGTTTAGGGTTTAGGGTTTAGGGACTTGTGGGTGTTCTGATGGGGTGTAGGGCACCAAGTGGCTTCCCCAAGACCGGGCAAAGAGTACATCTGTCTAGCTGTAGTGCTTCATATGTGTGCTTCATAGTCTAGCTACCACTCTGGGAATAGGCTTCTGTCCGAAGATAGAAAGCCTTGTCTCATCGCCGGCAGCCGTCCGGCATGACATCTCATGTATCTTGGTGTGCCTTTGCTCTGAGTAGCAAGAGGCCCACGGTCTTTGTGTCTTGTGCATGTGCAGCGCGCTCACTTAAGCAGCTACGGCAATGTTGCAGCCTGTTCTAGCTCCCTGCACTTCCGGGCATCTGTGGCATGCCTCATTTGATATCAGCAATGCCCTGAAGACATCTCGTTACCAGCCCATGAACCTTGAAGAGCTTCCGGAGCCCTCTCGGCCGTGCACGACTGCATGAGTGAAAGTCGAAGGCGCAAACCTGGGGGGTAACTTCAAACCCTAAACCCTAAACCCTACACCCTAAACCCTAAACCCTAAACCCTAAACCCTAAACCCTAAACCCTAAACCCTAAACCCTAGCAAGAGAGCCCTGAAACCCCAAAAGGGGCGCTGGGTCTGCACACGAGCACCTGGGAGGCTGTCCATGCCTTCGGCTCTCATAGTTAGAGCAGGAATCTCTGAAAAAGCCAGACTATAGGGTTTAGGGTTTAGGGTTTAAAGCCTTAAAGGGTTTAGGTTCAAGGCATGCCAGCAGAATAGATAGCCTTCCGCACAGACACAGACATCAGATGCGGCACTGGCCTTCAGCAAACGCTGGGCCGTTTTCCGCTTCTCCAGGAACTCTGCGGTGAGCTGGGATGCACTTGATGCAGGGGGGCGGGGACTTCTGGCGGAGACTTTCCTCACCTCCTGGCCCTATGCTTTGCATATCTTCGCATGCATGCGCAAAATGACTGCAGCACCCTAAGCCCTAAACCCTACATGTTTGGGTTTCACAAATATACCCAAAGGCTACTATGTAGTACCTTTTTGGGGTAGCATACCAGACTTCCCTTTCACCAACCCAAAAAGGAAAAACATTAGAGCCCTCAGGTAGACTACTAAGTGTTCATGCGTGGGGTCTTTCCCCTGGGTGCCTGAAGCAAGTTGCAGAGCTCAGTAAGCCCATCGCGGCAGGTTAAGGGTTTCGGATTAAAAGCCCGAAACAAACAGTTGGAGGTGAATAGGGTTTAGGGGTTTAGGTTTAGGGGTTTAGGGGTTTAGGGGTTTAGGGGTTTAGGGGTTTAGGGGTTTAGGGGTTTAGGGGTTTAGGGTTTAGGGTTTAGGGGTTTAGGGGTTCAGGGGTTCAGGGGTTTAGGGGTTTAGGGTTTAGGGTTTAGGGATTAGGGTTTAGGGTTTAGGGTTTAGGGCAAGCAGAAAGCGAGCCTGCCTGGGGTGTTTTAGATGAAGGGAAGACACCCTCAAGTTCGGAAAGAGGTGTTGTTGAGTAGCCCCATGCCGGCATACTGGGAGCATCCATGGGCTGAATATGAATGGTTAAATGGGCCAAGGAGATCATGTGAGCATGCTGTGTGCGTTGTAAATAGCATTTGGGGTGATGTGCCTGGAGTACAAACCCTTCCTCAGCCGTAACGTTCCCCTTTCAGCAAGACTTTAGGGTTCCAGGTATCTGTATCAGGGGCAATGAAAACAAAATGGCTTGCCCCACCTGGCAGGTGCCGGCATGTCTGGCAGGAATGTTGTCATCCTCATCGGCAGATGTAAACTAGCCAAAGAAACCATTCTATTCAAGTAGACCCCCCAAAGTGTGCTTATGCCAGGATGGGCTACTAGGCCTTCTAAGCCTTAACATCCACGGCAGCTACTTCGGTTTGAAGGGATTAGGGTTCAGGGTTCAGGGTTCAGGGTTCAGGGTTTAGGGTTTAGGGTTTAAGGTTTAGGGGTTGGGGTGTAGGGTGTAGGTTTGGACGTGCGAGTTTCGATCCAAGGTTCGACGCCCGGAGAGGAACACACAGAAGCATCTGGGATCTGGAGCAGGGGTAGGCCCTTATTTCCTTTTTTAGGGTTTAGGGTTTAGGGTTTAGGGCTACTAGGACCCAGAGTAGGCCCTTATTCCCTTTTTTAGGGTTTCGGTTCCCTGACCCTTTTATTGCTAGGTTACTCCTGGGTCTAGTCTAGGGGATCTGGAGCACCATCGCAGTTTGGGTTTAGGGTTAAGGGTTTCAAAGGGCTTAGGGTATGTTTGGGGTTTAGGGTAGTTTAGGGTTTAGAGTATTTTAGGGTTTTTAGGGGCTAGGGGTTAGGGTTTAGGGTGGGTGTATCCCACGTGGGGGACCCTGTAGTATTCACCAAATATACTTTTCTTCCTTATGTTCTAGGAGCCGCATAAACGGGTACCCGTATGTTGGGAAACCATGATGATTTAGGCTTCGTTGCTTGTTTGGTTGAATGTCTACGTACTGAGGATGTTGGTTGTGCATTCCCTGGTTGATGTTTCTGTCCACGAGCTGTTCCTCTAGTCCGGATACTTCTTCGTCATTGTTGAAAACCATTGTACATTTTACGAATACTTAAACCCACACAAATGATCATTTCAAAATCGTACCCTCACAATGATGCGGACTTGGTATGATGTTTGTTTGTTCCTGCGCGGCCTTCTTAGCTTCACAGCTTGTTGAGGGCACGCCTGCACGTTAGTGTTTTTTTTGTTGTGTGTGTGCCGGTGCGTGGTAAAGTACCATTGGCAATGGTTGTTTGTTTGTTTTCTGCTAGGGGGTTGTTGCGCGGCAAATCTCTACTCCAACAGCCCGCGAACCAGAGGCCTTCAATTTAGACTGGGAGGTTGATGGGTATTTCGAAGTCGGCTTAGAAGTAGGGCAACTATGTTTTATTTTCGGCTGCTTATCACCCTACTCGTAAGTACTCGAATGAACCTTTAAGCAGCCGACGGCCCGTTCTATACCCTAGCAGCCCTAAACCCTAAACCCTAGGCCATGTGAAACACACAAAAACCCTAAAACCATTTCAACTTGAATCCGATATTTCCTAGGAAGGATAAGGGGGACCCTTCAAAGGGAACCCTTCTTAACCCTCTTCTGGCTCTGTTAAAGAGGGACCTTATTGAGAGAGTTTGTATCCCCAAGGGTCCCCCTAATCCTATCCCCTATTGCTTTTTGTGGGCTCAGGCAGCCCTTTTGGGTAATCCACGCCGCCGCCCTGAACATCGGCGAGAACGAGTACGCCACGGTCTGCCCCCCCCCCCCCCCAAAAAAAAAAAAAAAAAAACCCTACTAACCCCTAACCCCCCTTCCCTCCCCCCCCCCACCTAAACCCGCCCCACAAGTAAGCCCCATATCGAGCGGAGAGGTCCAGGTGCTTTGAGGCATAGTCTGCGGCTTGCTTGCTTTCGAGGCCCTTTTAGAGCCGGGGTTCAAGGCTAGGGTTTAGGGTTTAGGGTTTAGGGTTTAGGGTTTAGGGTTTAGGGTTTAGGGTTTAGGGTTTAGGGTTTAGGGTTTAGGGTTTAGGGTTTAGGGTTTAGGGTTTCAGGGTTTTCCCTGTTCGTCCCGCTGCGAATGGGGACTGCAAAGGTTTCAGGGGAGTCAAGTTTCCGACCCAGCGTCCTACACCCCATGTCCTACACCCCATAAAACCCTAAACCCTCAACCCTAGACCCTAGACCCTAAACCCTAGCAGCTCTAGCATGTCTGGCAGGACTTCGGTGACTACTCAAACGAGAACCGGAAGCTTGATTTCGTCGCGTATGTCGAAGACATGGGACGTATCTATGCGCCACGGCGGGAGGTTTGTAGGGCTTACTTAGGGTGTAGCGTTTAGGGTTTAGGTTTAGGACTTATTTATGGTTTGTGGGGTTTAGGGTGCTTTCCGCGGGGAGTCTCGCAAAAGCGGGTCTTTTTAGCGGATGTGGTGTCTTGTCACGTTTCTGTTGGGATCAGAGTACACTGTGTTTTGGTTTCCCGCCAACATGCTGTCAATATTCATTATCTTGGTCTTCTTCACGTGCTTTACGGCATGAGGGATGTCCCTGCAATCCCAAGAATCAATGATATGTTCTGTTCTTTGGGGGGGGGGGGGGGGGGGGAGGATTGGGAGGTGGGAGATTGGACCTTATGGCCAAACTTCTTGTCCCTTTTAGGGTTCAAGCGCTGAGGGGTTTTGCTTCGCCGTGAGTGTTTGTAGGGTCTGGCTGGCTGACGGCGTTGAGATGACAGACCTTCAACTCAAATTTGCTCCAAAGTTCCCGAATCTCACCCAAGGGCCCCAACCCCTCATAAGAAGCCCTACACCCTAAACCCGAAACCCCACAAAAAACTCTAAACCCTAAACCCCAACCATAAACTCTTAAACTATTAGCCCTATAAACCCCGAGCCCAGGACAACATCTTGCAAGCTGCCGCCGCGCTGGGAGCCGGCTAGCTCAAGAGTTGGTGCAGTTGGGGAAATCTGTTCTTCAACACTTTAAGATTCTATCGGCGTTTTTACACACACATGTATAATATATATATATATATATACATATACTTAGCGGAAGACTGGGCTTCAAGGTTTAAAGGGTGAGTTGGGGGAAGTTGGACAAATTCGTGGCTCTAGGGGGTAGTTGTATTCTTGGTATTTTCTTATGCTTGTTCTATTTGTGTTAGTACCCACGCACACACACACACACACATATATATATATATTTCCATTACACATATTCCTATATATATATGTATATATATATATATATATTTGCACATACACACGTTTATGTTTTTCGTTTTGGGGGGTGGGGGTGGTTCGGGGTTTAGGCTGATGGAGTTCGGGGCTCAAGCCTCAAAATCCCCTATGCAGAAGAACAACCCAAACCACAAGACTTGAGGGCGCCTTTTAGTTCCTTGAAGGGGCTCTCGCTCTCTCTCTCTCTCTCTCTCTCT